GCCTCATTACAAAGATGCGCATGTGGATAAAATAAGCAATAATACCCAGGTGCACAACCTCGGGGTCCACTTAGTATGGGTGCAAAATTTAAGGAGCTTTTGTGGTCACACACAGAAAGAGACACGCCCTTTTATTATTATAGTTTCTAATATATTTTCATTATAACATAATAATTTTATTAAATTCTTATTCTCTGTTATATTATTGTATATATATTAATTGAAAAAATATAGTTCATAATATTTATTTTCTAATACGTTCACCTACACTATATTTACAAGATCCAATTGAATATTAGTACATTGAAATAAATATTAAAGAATATTGATTTCAATGTTCTCTACTATATCAAAATAGCACATTCACATAAAAAATCATTTTCTGTATTACGTTTGATATAAGTTTCACACTGCTTTCTATTCAAGCATCTTATGCGTATTAAAGTTCATATTATTAGTATTGTTAGTAGCAGAAACCCGTTAAATGTTTGCGGTCATATTATTATCTTTATTGCAACATTCCTTCTTTAAATACAGTATTTCTGGAATAATAAAAAAAGATTATAATGGCAGACACAGAAATCTATAACTCCATTTGTTTTAGGCCTAACACAATTTAAGCTTTTGTTAAGTACGGCCTATCTACTACATAAAGGAAAGTGTGTGTTGTTCGTGAAAAAAATCACGGTCGTATATCTATATCATTTCATATCCGTTCCTTATAAATTTCCACCCATCTTGATATCAGCACCAAACTTGACACAGTGATACACAGTGACATGAGGAAGGTCATGGGTGGTAGACCCCCTCATCTAATTTCGGAAAAACTACCACATCAGCACAACTTGATACAGTGATACAGGATGACATGAGAAAGATCATGAGGGGGGTTGGGCCCCCATCTAAGTTCATATTGATAGAAAACAGTATGTTTCTTTTCAGTATAGATACCTTAATGTATATGTATTTTTATTGCACTTTTAATGTTTATTACGTTAAAAAAATAAAAGTACAGTTTTCCATCGTTTGTTACAAACGAGATTTTTTTTTCACTCATCCAACAGACAGGTCCCCCCAGCTAGGATTCGATAAAAAAGAGATAAATTATAATGCAACTTGTGCATATCATGTGCTAAACTTTAACGCATTTATTATCGATAAATAAACTTCTACGACCTAACTTTAGACCTTTTTGATAAGCTTTTCTTACGTTGTTATACAAAATATCTACCAAAGTTAAAACGAAGTGTGCGCGCATGAGAATTTAGATAGTGAGGTGCACGGGCGTTTTCAGGACAACCAGAAACTGAGTATTATTAAAATAGATTGTACATAAAATTTACCGACACTACGAGGAGATGTGTGTTCCATTCATACAAATTAAATGTGGTTAATGAATGATACTTTCCAATCCAAGCGAATTATTAGAACCTGTTCAAATTTAAAATCCAAGACTTCCTGTTCTAATAGTTATCGTTTTTCTTTCTACTATTTGCAGACACAGCCCTTTACAAATACGAACTATACAATTAATTGAAATAAATATTTCGCTTGGTTGTATCCATACTTGTATTCGTATCCGATTAGCACTGCAATTACTTAAATTCCGCCGTACTTACAACACAAATAAGATAAATTAAACAAGAAACATTTTCTATAACATGCAAACTTTTAACTAAACCTTAGCTAAATTCCCTCCAACCTTGCATTCATTCATTCTAATAATAGAGGGCGTTATTTAAATAAAGAATATTCACTAGCAAACTAGACTTGTCTCATTTTCAGTTTTGAGATTTTAATTGTTGACATAATCTGTTATTTTCCACGTTACACGTGCACTTTAAAAGTTATTACAATACTGGGGATGGTTTAATTTCTTCAAAACATTGTATTAATATCCGTTGTTTATCTCTTGTTTCATGGAAATTTAGCAAAAGTATCAAACGAAACTCTTAATTATTTTATAGTTGTGAATCACTATTCAGTGGGATATGTTTATTTTCATTGATTACAGTTATATTATTAAAACATTTATTTTCTGTTGTATTTTCGAATTATTTATCTCATTAAGTTCACTGCTGTTTTTTTTTTTGGCTTATTTTTGATAACTCTTCTCATTAAACGCTAACGATTGTTCTATTTATCTTAATAGCTTACGTCTTTAATTGATTTATTTGAGAATTCATTAAAAATATTTTCCGAGTAAATTTTCAATCAAACCTTAAAGTTAGTGTTTTAATATCGCATAAGACTCACCATTATTTGTTGCCCTGGTTGATTTCGTACGAAGACAGCTGCCATGTTGTCCAACTAACGCCTCCAAGCAGCTGTTACTGACAGAAGTTTGTGAATGGACTGTCAGTTATGATAGACTTTTTGCACGTCAGTCTCTTACAGTAAATAGTTTTTGAATTTGTTAGATTCCTTAATAACTGATAATTCTAATACTGAATTTCGTTTATTTATAATCACATTAGTACACGATTCAGCCGACATTTTAAGTGACCTCTTTATCACACACCTCAACCACTACCTTCAACCGCATATTCGAACTTTAATAGTATATATGTGAGCTATGTTTCAAGTATAGTCGGATTCTTACACCAAAGGGTATATCGTCAATGTTTTTTAACAACTAAAATAAAATATTTCCAAGACTAAAACAATGAAAAGACCAATATTTCCTTAACGCAATACCTTCTTTGCCCCTGAAGAAGAATGGTCCATCTTTAGAAAGCACTCGTGTTATAGGGTTTTATATTAAGACTTCTTGAACATACGTGTTTTTCTGACGTCATTTTCTTTATTATTATTAAGAAAGCTATGAGATCAGAATTTTTAGTCTGCAAACCACCATTGATTTCTCTGTCGTTCTAAGTTTAATAAATGACAAATATTATTAAGATAACACCTTCCTCGGTATTACTATGAAAACTATGAGTTTAAGATTTTTTAGTTTCTAAGCCACGATCGGTTCCTCTGTCGTTATGATTTTAATAAATGGCATGCATAATATTTCTGAGCATTATCCAAATTAAAACTTCGTTTTACTAAGAATAAAGCGACTTATCACGTAAGAACATTCTGTAAGAATAAAGGGACTTATGAAGCCATTAATTCCGTAAGAACGGTCTGTAAGAATAAAGCGACTTATGAAGCCATCCATTCTGTAAGAATATTGCGACTTATGAAGCCATTCATTCCGTAAGAACGGTCTGTAAAAATATAGCGACTTATGAAGCCATTCATTCCGTAAGAATATTGCGACTTATGAAGCCATTCATTCCGTAAGAATATTGCGACTTATGAAGCCATTCATTCCGTAAGAACGGTCTATAAAAATATAGCGACTTATGAAGCCATACATTCCGTAAGAACGGTCTGTAAGAATATAGCGACTTATGAAGCCATCCATTCCGTAAGAACGGTCTGTAAAAATATAGCGACTTATGAAGCCATTCATTCCGTAAGAACGGTCTGTAAAAATATAGCGACTTATGAAGCCATCCATTCCGTAAGAACGGTCTGTAAGAATAAAGCGACTTATGAAGCCATCCATTCTGTAAGAATAGAGCGACTTATGAAGCCATCCACTCCGTAAGAACATTCTGTAAGAATAAAGCGACTTATGAAGCCATCCATTCCGTAAGAACGTTCTGTAAGAATATAGCAACTTGTGAAGCCATCCATTCCGTAAGAACATTCTGTACTTCAGTCATTTTTGTTCTCACTCCACTTTCTACACCTTTAACAATATTAACAATTAAGAAACATTATAAGTTTGAACTGTAACTGAAAGGTAAAAGTTGTCATTGAATTATTCAGACTATATCATTTAATCATACATATATTATTTTTAACACTTTTCTGCTCTGTAACTGGATTTTTATAATTAACTCTTGAAATGCTTGTAGCTCATATTTAGTTATGTGTTATAAAGCATTAAGTTTGGTGTTTAAAACATTTTTTATTTTAAATATTATCAATGTTTTATTTTTTAATATTTTCCTAAACACTCTAGATATCCTCCTATGTTTCTGAAATCACTAAAGCCATAGATATCCTCCTATGTTTCTGAAATCACTAAGGCCATAGATATCTTCTTATGTTTCTGAAATCACTAAGGCCATAGATATCCTCCTATGTTTCTGAAATCACTAAGGCCATAGACATCCTCATATGTTTCTGAAATCACTTAGGTCATAGATATCCTCCTATGTTTCTGAAATCACTAAGGCCATAGATATCCTCCTATGTTTCTGAAATCACTAAGGCCATAGATATCCTCATATGTTTCTGAAATCACTAAGGTCATAGATATCCTCCTATGTTTCTGAAATCACTAAGGCATAGATATCCTCCTATGTTTCTGAAATCACTAAGGCCATAGATATCCTCCTATGTTTCTGAAATCACTAAGGCCATAGATATCCTCCTATGTTTCTGAAATCATTAAGGTCAAAAATGTAATATTTTTTTAACTGTACCGTAATACATTAAGCTAAAATAAAAGTTGTTTTGTTTTCTTGTGTCATGTACACAGTAAACTTAAGCCTGTATGGTATCTTCAAACTTGGTTAAAGAAATAAGCAGTAAGTAATGTTAGGTTCGGAATATAAGTACCACACACACATCATAAATGATAGATATTTGACAAGCTTTATCGACGTGAATCAGACACGATGAAATTTTACATCACTAATCACGTTTCTATGTTACCAGACACCTGAATAATTTCCACTGGTTTCAGAGTTTCTTGTTTCAGTAATATTTCGAAACTTTACGGTTAAATAATTCGGTCAAGTGTCATCATTCTGGCATTAAGCCATCAATGTACGTGTGTTATAACGAATATGAATTTTTTTTTAGCAACGAGAAGGTTTTTAACTTTGCCATTTGCAAAGTATTTTACAAAAGCAAACCTATGGCCATGTGGTAGATTATACAATACAAAAACAATTCACCTTACGCTAAAAAGAATCATTACGAATTCTTTATTTCTTCAGATCCATTACAGCAACATCGAAAGAGTAAATAATACAATAAGGTTACAAGTGTACATCTTACGTCAACAGAAGAACTGACAGTATGAATATAAATAACAGCCAGTAATAAATTACACGACACTCCCAGCAGTAGAACAGAACACAAAAACAATGTCTTCACAAAAGGTGTTACCACTAGTTAAATATCTTGTTACCAGAATATACCTTATTACACAATATTTAGTTACCAGAATATACCTTATTACACAATATTTAGTTACCAGAATATACCTTATGACACAATAATTAAGACATTTAGACTAGTCACAGCTCGATCTTTGTGATACAATTAATTGAATAGATAAATAACATTATACAATAGGATATAAAAGCAGAAAGATTAACAATGTTGTAAAGGAAGTTTTCCAAGTTAGATCATTTCCTTTAAATAAACACAAGAAAAACTGTGTAATTCTCGGTTCTGATCCAAATATTAGATTTATATTTCTTTTGTATTGTTTTTATTGATAGTAACACCTAATTCTTATAAGCTTCAAAATTTTGTTTCAAAAGAAACGAACTGTATGCAATGACGAATGACCGGAAACATATTTTTGGTAGATTTCGTCATCTGGCGCAGTTGATCATGGAAAACAAGCCTATTTACTGCAACTTGATCGGAATGCGTCAATAGGAAACATATTACTATACTCAGCTGCAGGAGTTCTATAATGTGACAGAGCCCATCTATCTTGGAGTACATGTTGGGAATGTTCTGATTTCATGCCAGCCTACCTAAGGAAATGTAGCATAGATAAAACATTTAAGCCCCATCTTGGTAGTTGAACTCGAAGGTGTTCACTGGGGCAAATTTTCACACTTCTCGTCTCTTTGTTCTCAATTACGAGTAATGCGTGATCGAATTAAGGTTGATGTTTTCGAAATGCGTGGTAGAACTTGTAAAGCGGGATTTATAAGCATTAGCAGTGTTTCTAGAGCGCCCTCTGTACGTTCGTCGAAGACACAAACAAGCAAAAGAATTTTTGAATTCTTTGCGGAATTTTCCTGAAATGGAAATCCATGGCAAAAATTTTAATTCAAAATTAAATTCCACTGATTAGAAAATCAAGAAAAAATACAATAAATATGTAAAACATAAAAAAACAATAAAGGTGTTCAGGAAGAAAATTTTAAAAGAAATTAATTGAAAATAACAGGAGAATCTATTTAGAAGCTAATAATAGCATTTAATCAATACACATAAACATAATAATTATTAATTTGAGCTTAACTATTAAGAGGTTTGTTAACGTCATATAAAATGTTAATTAATTATGAGTAAAAACGAAAAAACAAGATATTATTAGAAATTCCAGCGTTCCAGTTATTCCTGAGTTAACTGCTTAACATTGTTTAGTGCTCATTGTTTCAGAAACTTAAAACAAACAATTCCTGAGTTAACTGCTTAACATTGTTTAGTGCTCATTGTTTCAGAAACTTAAACCAAACAATTCCTGAATTAATTGGTTTAGATTGTTTAGTGCTCATTGTTTCAAAAACTTAAAACAAACAACTCCTGAATTAACAAGTTTAGATTGTTTAGTGCTCATTGTTTCAAAAATTTAAACAACTCCTGAATTAACAAGTTTAGATTGTTTAGTGCTCATTGTTTCAAAAACTTAAACAACAATTCCTGAATTAACGGGTTTAGATTGTTTAGTGCTCATTGTTTCAAAAACTTAAACAAACAATTCCTGAATTAACAGGTTTAGATTGTTTAATGCTCATTGTTTCAAAAACTTAAAACAAACAACTCCTGAATTAACAAGTTTAGATTGTTTAGTGCTCATTGTTTCAAAAACTTAAAATAAACAATTCCTGAATTAACTGGTTTAGATTGTTTAGTGCTCATTGTTTCAAAAACTTAAAACAAACAACTCCTGAATTAACTGGTTTAGATTGTTTAGTGCTCATTGTTTCAAAAACTTTAAACAAACAACTCCTGAATTAACAAGTTTAGATTATTTAGTTTTCATTGTTTCAAAAACTTAAAAAAATTAGGTGGTTACATTTAGAAGTTATAGATCTGTAGCTGAAAAAACTAAAAGGAAAATCCATAATACATAAATATCAATTACATAATTTATGGTTTTACAATATTATTAGGTACGACATTTGGTAGGGAGTTTGAAACGATGAGTAAAACAAAACAACAACAACAACATGAATATTGGATTATCTTTTATGAAAAACACTTATAGTGAATAAATAAATCAATATCGTGAGAATAAAGAATATCCTATTGTTGTCCATTAATAACATTTTCACGAACAACAATATCTCTTCTCTCGTAAACAACAGTGAGAAAATGGTATGCGTTTATTTAAATATAATAAACCTATCTTGTTTTATTCGTATTAACGTACTTTAACAAAAAGTGTTGATTCCTAGTGTTTATTATACATATAATAAGCATCTTCCAACTGCATATAATATTCGATTACTTACAGAATCCGTTCTTCTGAGAGTGAAATTCATCTCACTAAAATATGGTTTTGAGTTTATTTGATTACAATGTAAAGATATACTTAAGTTTGAAGTCCAGGAATATTTACTTGTTTAGCCCAAATCTTCACAATCTGCGCTCTGTCCACCGTGGGGAATATAACTCCGGATTTGAGCATTGTAACTCCTGAAACTTATCGCTGAAACACACTGGTGGACTGAGAATAGGAATTAAAATGTTTCATATTTGTCTCCTACCAACATTCTTTCATTCATGATACATTTTGTGAATGTTACACAATTACCAAATTGAAAAGTCGGTGGAGTACTTACTGTCTAGCCGTATTTTCCTACTTTGGATTACTTAATTAGAATTAATTAAATTAAACAATAGTTCGGAACACAAAAGAAACTAATCCTCAGTCTCCTCTAAAACAACATGGCACTATAACAAATGTTACAACATGAATACGGTACATTTTCAAGATATTCATTGAAAAAAAGGTTAGTCACACTTTAGGTGTAATGATAATGTAACAACACTACCTAATATCTGCATAATATTCAGCCTTTTCTCCCCTGTAACAACACTGCCTAATATCTGCATAATATTCAGCCTTTTCTCCCCTGTAACAACACTGCCTAATATCTGCATAATATTCAGCCTTTTCATCCCTGTAACAACACTACCTAATATCTGTATAATATTCAGCCTTTCCTTCCCTGTAACAACACTACCTAATATCTGCATAATATTCAGCTGAATATTATACAGATATTAGGCAGTGTTGTTACAGGGAAGAAAAAGCTGAATATTATACAGATATTAGGCAGTGTTGTTACAGGGAAGAAAAGGCTGAATATTTTTTTCTTCCCTGTAACAACACTGCCTAATATCTGCATAATATTCAACCTTTTTTCCCCTGTAACAACACTACCTAATATCTGTATAATATTCAGCCTTTTCTTCCCTGTAACAACACTGCCTAATATCTGTATAATATTCAGCCTTTCCTTCCCTGTAACAACACTGCCTAATATCTGCATAATATTCAACCTTTTTTCCCCTGTAACAACACTACCTAATATCTGTATAATATTCAGCCTTTTCTTCCCTGTAACAACACTGCCTAATATCTGTATAATATTCAACTTTTTCTTCCCTGTAACAACACTGCCTAATATCTGCATAATATTCAACCTTTTTTCCCCTGTAACAACACTACCTAATATCTGTATAATATTCAACTTTTTCTTCCCTGTAACAACACTGCCTAATATCTGCATAA